CGCGGAGAATTCCTTGGTCGCGGCCGCGGCCATGAATAGTTCCCTTCACAGTTTCTTGGCAAGAAACCAGTTTCTTGTCAAGAAACCAGTTTCTTGGCAAGAAACCTGTCTTTTGATCAAGAAACCTGTGTTTTGCTCAAGAAACCTTTTTTTGGAGATGAATGAAAATTGAACTGAAGTGTGTGAAGTCCCAAAAAATTTAAGATGACATGTCAACAGGCCGTGTCTTGCTCAAGAAACCCGTTTCTTGTGAAGAAACTAGTTTCTTGGCAAGAAACCAGTTTCATGACAAGAAACCAGTTTCTTGCCAAGAAACCAGTTTCTTGTAAAGAAACCGTTTTCTTGGCAAGAAACCTGTCTTTTGATCAAGAAACCTTTTTTTGGAGATGAATGAAAATTGAAGTTAAGTGTGTGAAGTCCCAAAAAATTTAAGATTTCATGTCAACGGGCCGTGTCTTGCTCAAGAAACCCGTTTCTTGTGAAGAAACCAGTTTCTTGACAAGAAACCTGTTTCTTGTGAAGAAACCAGTTTCCTGTCAAGAAACCTGTTTCTTGTCAAGAAACCAGTCTTTCATCAAGAAACCTTTTTTTGGAGATGAATGAAAATTGAAGTTAAGTGTGTGAAGTCCCAAAAAATTTAAGATTTCATGTCAACAGGCCGTGTCTTGCTCAAGAAACCCGTTTCTTGTGAAGAAACCAGTTTCTTGACAAGAAACTTGTTTCTTGTGAAGAAAACCAGTTTCTTGGCAAGAAACCAGTTTCTTGCCAAGAAACCAGTTTCCTGTCAAGAAACCTGTTTCTTGTCAAGAAACCAGTCTTTCATCAAGAAACCTTTTTTTGGAGATGAATGAAAATTGAAGTTAAGTGTGTGAAGTCCCAAAAAATTTAAGATTTCATGTCAACGGGCCGTGTCTTGCTCAAGAAACCCGTTTCTTGTGAGAAACCAGTTTCTTGGCAAGAAACCAGTTTCTTGACAAGAAACCAGTTTCTTGCCAAGAAACCAGTTTCCTGTCAAGAAACCTATTTCTTGTCAAGAAACCAGTCTTTCATCAAGAAACCTTTTTTTGGAGATGAATGAAAATTGAAGTTAAGTGTGTGAAGTCCCAAAAAATTTAAGATGCCATGTCAACGGGCCGTGTCTTGCTCAAGAAACCCGTTTCTTGGGAAGAAACCAGTTTCTTTTCAAGAAACCTGTTTCTTGTCAAGAAACTAGAAGCTTACGATTAATACGAAGGTTCAAAGTCAAAAATCTGAGTGCAAAACGAATCCGAAAATAACAATCCGAACAATATTTTCTGGAGTTCAAAAGTGCGAACAACATTCATAACCTAGGATAGAACATAATAAAAACGTACAAAAGTGCGAACAACATTAAAGAAACAAGTTTCTTGCTCAAGAAACTGGTTTCTTGAACAACAGACCGTGTCTTGCTCAAGAAACCCGTTTCTTGTGAAGAAACCAATTTATTGTCAAGAAACCTGTTTCTTGGTAAGAAACTTGTTTTTTGCTCAAGACACCAGTTTCTTGGCAAGGAACCTGTTTTTTCGCTCAAGAAACATGTATTTTGCTCAAGAAACCTGTTTTTTTGAGATGAATGAAAATTGAAGTGAAGTGTGTGAAGTCCCAAAAAAATTAAGATGACATGTCAACAGGCCGTGTCTTGCTCAAGAAAC